CCAAGGAAGCTCGGGGTATAGAGTCAGGCATGGCAGTTCAGTGAACAGCGGCATAGCTGCTTGAAGTAGGGCAGCGACATAGAGTCTTTGGGTTGTCCTTTGGACAGGAGGCTGAAGCCTCAGTAGTCCGCCATAGCCTCGGCTTGTATGCAGAGGAAGAGGAAGGGTGGCCATGGCTATGGTAGACCTCATGTTGTGCCTGCAGTAGAAGTGGGATTCGGACATTGATTCTGGTTCAGCCATTCAACATTATTATTGTTATTTCTTGTTTGAATAAGAGGGGAGGAGATAAGGAGGAGGAGATTGGTTGGCGAGGAAGAAGAGCCTTGTCATTGGTCTATGCTGGAGTGCATCATCTTCTTCCTCTTTCTTACTTCTTCTTCTTCTTCTTTCCCTTTCTCTCCTCTAAAGTTCATTCATTTCTTTTTGCAATTGGACGGCATTGTTTTTCCTGATGTCTATATACTTCGAAATTGGCCAGGATCGTAACAGATGGAAGACAGAGCCAAGGCAGACAAACGGAAAGCAAGGTGTGGAATAAAGATGAGCCGATAGGAAGAGCGTATGGAAGGACAACAGAAGACTTAGCAGTCGTTCTGTCCTTAGACAACAGAGACACGAAGGGTAGGGATGAGGTGGGTGATGACATGGAAAACTAGCTAAGCCTTCTCATCACAACAGTTACCACAACGGGTGGCACTAAAACACCACAACCTTTTGAAGTTGAGAATAAAAAACGTAATATTCCATGAAGTTTGGGGATTCAGGGAAGGACTGGCCTGGGGGCAGCCGCAAATTGTTTTGTCCCCCGCGCAGCTGCAGTGGGCAGATCGCCGACCTCCACGTGTACAGATGTCTTACGATGGAAAATCCAGTTTGAAACTGTGAAGAACAAACGATACCATCAGCCTCTCTTCTATAGGATGGAATTGCACATGTTTCAAACTGGATAGAACAAATGATATCATCAGCCTCTCTTCTATAGGATGGAATTGCACATGTTTATGGATTGAAGTTACCATCGAACAAGATTCAAGCTGGATGCAGCCACATGCACTCAGTGCTGTTTTGCAAGCCTGTTCGAAACCGTTTGCCCGTGGACAGATGCTGGTGCCATGCCTTCAAAATCATTGGGAAAAAAAAAAGTGCCGTTACATTTCTAAGCGAATGATCCGCAAACATTGGGTTTTAACAACTAGGTCATCAGCAGGAAACATAACCCAAAAGAAAACGTTTGCAACAACCACCGGTGTCAAGGCCACAAAGACCCTCAAACGGATGTCAGCCAGGCAAATCCCGAGGCTGATGTGAAATCCAGCCACAGGCTACTACCGGTGCACCACTTTCGATTTCCCACTATTGGTACCAGTCGTGCTCGGGTGCGGACGCTTTGAGTGTATAGCGGTTCGCATCCTCTCGGCAAAAAGAAGCTAAGAAGCGTGCCAAAAATATCAACTAAAAGAGTGCCCTTTGCAAAACAACAAGAAGAAAATAGCAGAGAGCATGAGGCCTACCGTGAACCGTTCATTAGCCTTTTTCTGTGCAGTTTGTTCTTTCCTTTCTTTCTTTTGTTTTTTTTCAAGGTTTTCTGCCTTTTAATTCTTTTAGCTCTCCCTTGACATGCATCTGATATACAACACTCGCCACACCAACCTAGTTGAGTGCGAGCTTCCTACATCCCTATGTGCCATAACGGTGCAACTGCACACTGTAGAGGCAGAGTAAAAGGAGAACGGATAAAGAGAGAGGAAGAAGACAAAGGGAAAGTAAGGAATGTGGAAAAAGGTTTAATAAACATGAGACTACAGGGAGAGGAGACCCAGGAGTCAGTATGGGCTTAACGACAGAGGAGACATGACTGGTAAGGATGAGGTGGCCGATGACATGGAAAACCAAGCTAAGCATTCTCACCACAATACTTGGCTACATCGTAGCCCATGCTGAGCATTCTCAGGAGAATAATTGCCAGCACAGCTGGCGTTAACCATGGCCACCAAAGACCCTGGACCAATGGCATGTGTGTTGCAGGCTAGGAGGAACAAAGAAGAGGCATCACGAAGTCCCATACACAAAACGCGCATATGATGTCTAGATGCAGAAGGTGAGTGAGGACAGGCAAGGAAGGGCGGCCCTCTGCACACATGAATGTAGAAACAATGCCACCAAAGTGGTTGTCGCAGAGGCAATAAAGCCTGCAGTCCAATGTAAGGGTGCCTGTAGCTGTGCAGAGGAGAAGGGTTTTACTATTTGCTTTACGTTTCATTAAAGATACATTAACCTGCCTCTCTCTCTCTACCAACCTGTTTATCTGCATAACTACCTAACTCAAGTGGGACGCAGATCTGTTCTCAATATCAAAAACTGTAGACTGCACTCCAAGAGAGAAAGAGGGCTGGAGAGTTAACTACCTAACTCAAGTGGGACGCAGATCTGTTCTCAATATAAAAAACAGTAGACTGCACTCCAAGAGAGAAAGAGGGCTGGAGAGTGAACTAGCTGGTTGGATTGGTTAATTGTCTTCATATTTGCCTGTTTCTAGCTGAGCTCTTATACAGGTCACCAATAAACCGCTTGAGTCGAACCATCAACGGTCTGGTGCCTTCTGGCGTGTCAATTGTCACTGCTAAAAAATTGACCAGTGTTCATCGTCCCCCCACTTTACTGCATCATTAGTCACAAGGCTAATATTTTGAACCACATAATGTCCACACACTGGAGGCCACAGGGCATTCACTCCTCTGCATTTATATGTCACTTGCACCTTATAAGTCATTTACAAGGTGTGACAGCAGCGTCCCCATCTACTGTCAACAGGCACTGTCATTTCACTGGCCTTGCTCAGCGTTGGCAGCCGAGGATGTCGGCTCCCGAAAACACGCCTGCAGGAGTTCAGGTCCAAAGCGGTTTGGGCTTCAAGGCCCTGTGAGCGTTTGTGAGGGCTTGGAAGAGCTCGTGAGGAAAAGTGTATGTCCTTGTGAGAGCCGACCAGGGCTTCTGTCAGAGCTTGTGAAGAGCTAATCGGACTTGATAGGGATGATGTGAGGGCATGTGAGGGGGTTAGTGAGGGCTTCTCAGGGTGAACCAAGGCTTCCGCATGCTCGCAAGCGCTTGTGCGAGGACTTGAAACCTTGACGTATTGGAATACCTCACGTCTGCAGAAGTATATTAAACAGAAGCACTCAGTGTCTGTACTCTGTCAAACAACTCTACACTTCATATAGAGTTCCAGACCAATTGTCAAACAACTCTACACTTCATATAGAGTTCCAGACCAATTGGTGACCACACGTGCAAAGATGGGATGTGTAGGAGATCCCATGCACCATAAGCGATGTGTAGCACCCAGCGCAATTGACAAATGATCCCATTGCCGACTAACTAAATTCTTCTACACCCAACTCTACTTGGAACTAGGCGGCACAATGTGTTCCAAGGCTTGTTCATTCCATTACTAGGTTTAATGAAAGTGCCACAAACCACAATTGAGGCAGTCAGTCCTCTGCTTCCTTAGACGACCACCACACTGGCCCAGCCTTGCGGAAAATTGTGAAAAGAGAGTTAAAGAGTGCTTGAAATTGCCGAGCGAGAAGCGGATGGAGGGAAGTCGTGCATCCCCGTCTGGGAAGGGGCGGACGGCGACTGCGTTGTCGCCCCCCTTGTTGGACGTGCGGTGCCTGCCCGCATGGGCTACTGTGACCGGCATTGCAGTGGGGAGCGATTGAAACCCCCCACGGGTGCCCGTCATGGCAGTCGAGGACCTTGAGCACACGCCTCTTTCGGTGGGCCCGTTCGGGTTCCTGCATCGGGACTTTTTTGGGCTCGGGGCAACTGGACCACAACGGCATGCGGCGCCAGCCAAAAAAAGAAAAAATTGCGTCGGTGGTGGTTTGGGAAAGCTTGGCGGGCAGTGCAGCACCTCCGGGTCCGGGTGTACTGGTGGTTTAAGCTTTAAAGTTGTCTACACAGATATAAACAAGCAACATTTTTTTTTCTAATACCTCAGACTGACCTCCGCACAGCAAGCATCTTCAAGCAGGATCGCATGCCACAATATGTAATGCATATCAAGCAAGACTGGGATAGTGAAAACTAAATCCTTTGCCGCTGGTAAATATTTGGTGCGCACTTCAGTCGTCGCGGACTGCGTTCCGGCAAAGAATGAAGACCACATTCACAGCCGACCTACCCATATTTTCCTGGTTCAGAGGGCAGAGACCTATTTGTTTCGCTCAAAGTCGGTTCTGAGAGAGAGTAAAACACCATGTCAGAGGGGTTACTTGCCGCTTGCCTGCCAGTGCCACATCTGATCGCAGAAGTTATTACAACAGATTTCCTAACGAGACGCAACAGCTGGGAGCCCTTTGGGCAGTAACATGTACTTTCTCGGATCCCTAAGCCCAAAAGATTCCCTGTCCTGTGTTCGGGAGCTAGCAAGTGGGCATACGACAACCAAAGGTTACTCAGATTGGAGAGCTTAAACCACCCGTACTTCCTAAAATTGTGCCCGTTAACAAGCCACAATTTTAGGAAACATACGGGCCACTACAGGAGCGCCCACATTCATCCGACTAGAAATGTTTCTACTCTAACAAGCCACAATTTTAAGCAACATATCCCCACTACAGGAGCGCCCGAATTCATCCGACTAGAAATGTTTCTACTCTATTGTTTTCCACGCCCGATAGCTGGGCCAAGTATTGGTGGTTTAAGCAGCGGCAGACTTGTCCCGATCTCATTCTGTGTCTATCCTTCTGATATAGCAATAATAAAAAGGTGCACTCGCCCCGTTCCACTTCAGCAAGCAACAAAATGAAGAAACATAGTTGTGGTCTCCAGGGCAGCTTGGCAGGACACAATGCGCAATTTAGGACACGGAAAGGTTAAAAGAAGGGCAGGCATGGTTGAGGAATTATCGATAAGCCATTAGATAAGCAGATTGGAGATGCATGACTGCAAAACAGAGAGCCCAGGTTCAACTTGTTAGATTTTGAGATACAAACCATTGGCATCTGTTATCCCTCTTAGAAGAAGCTTCCTCTTATGACTGCTCTTGTCTTCCTGCAAGCCATTCACACCACCACGATGAGACCGAATGCTTAGAACTTGGTCAGAGCACCTGACCATTGCATTCATTGGGAAGAAGGCCATAATAAAAACCTCAGGAAATGGAGACTACTATGCTTATGAACTACATCAAGCGGTTTGTTACCTGCAGTACCAGTCTTCACAGTAGCTGTTACAGTAGAAGTACAGTGTGCTTATGAAAAGCAGACAAGAAGAATGATGGACGGAAGTCCTTCGTCACATCCATTGAAATTGGAACTCAGCTACTGTGGTCAAGAAGAGCACCTGACCATTAACATGGCCCTGCGCTAGGGTGACATCACAGATGGAGACACAGACTAAATTAAGCAAACAAAAAAAAAAGCATGTTGGATAAGAACTTGAAAAGCCACATGAGGCCAAGATATACTGGACATAGTTGCAAAAAGTGCCAATAACAACATATGGTGTTGTCATCCCTCCACGGTACTTCAGTTTTGTACTCTTTGCAGAGTCTTAGGGCATACTCGAGCAAGTTCTGGGCGTGATCACAGTCACATTCATCCAGGCCCGGCTGTAATTGCAGCCGGATACATTCACGAAGTCGTAAGTGTGAATGCGCCGCTAGTGTCTCTAGCTTTTCTTTATATGCACCTGAGTGCTGACATCACCACAGTTTAACATGTAATCAATCGCACCAACGGCAAGCAAGACTGTTCTTTTCTTTTTTTTTCAAAACTCAGAACCGTGCAGTTCTGGCTCCTAAGCAAGACTTACTCTAAGGGTGTCATCATTTCTTGATATCCAGCCCCAGAGGTCTATTTGTCTTTTTTTTTTTTTTTTGGTTAACCACTAGTACATTTGCCGCGTGGGAAAATAGTGGGCCTCGAGTTGGGCTCCGACCTTTTCGGAGGGCCGAAACGAAACGACGGCCGCCAATCAGATTTATCAATGGCAGCCATCGTCAGGCCCAGCCTTCAAATTTTTAGGTCGGGAAACTGCCACTTTTCCATATTTTCCCAATAACTGATGGAGGTACTACTGGTTTAAGAAATCTATTTGTTGATCTGTAAGTGGTTGCATATGCTTTCCTTTTTTTTTTCGGGACAAGGCTCCAATCTATTCGTGGGGAGCAGCACGTGCTGGGAACCGGGCCCAGCATCCCATATGAAAATTTACATAGAAATGGTTGCATATCTGCCTTTGTCCTTGTCTTCACCTTCCGCTGTCCCTCAAGTGGCAATTTGAGCTCTAGCTTCTAAACATTGTAATCCATTTCATGACAATCCCTAATAAAGGGAACTTTGATTTACGGCATACTCACAACAGGACTTTTCCCAGTTCTGTGGACGTACTTGCGGTCAGGTGCATCTAGGTGTGGGCGTAATCGCAATCGGATACATCCATGAAAGTCCTTGAATGAGCATATACTGTCATGCCTGAGTGTGGAAAACGTGTCGATATGACTGCATCAACTGCAATTCTTCGCATTAAATACTTAATACATCATTGACAATGCCGTTTATTTCCGAGGGATTGGTACACCTTATAAACAAACTCTGGGGCTGCTGTTCCCACATCGTACCGCCACTGCCCAACAGCCCTCCCTCCCTACACATAGGCGTTATCACACAGGCTTCATTCTACCTTGATATGTAAGAGAATTCATGATGCGATCTTGATAGTCTCTTTGACACACAGGAAGCGAAAAATACAATGCCACAAGTTGATCTAATCCAATAACGAGCACAGCAAGACAAACTCCTGCCACACGCCCCATCAAGTTACCTCCAGAACTGGGATGTGCCATGGGCGGAAAGCATACAAAACATACACGTAGACTGTTGTACGACCCCACATGTGGAAGCCAGCAACACCACCATGGCCGCCACCTAATCCGTCACCAGATAACCTTCAAATTGTCACTACAGTGCTCAGAGAGAATGCTTTGGAACAATCCACACACAGCCACAAAACCATCAAGCAGACAGACGTGCAACATACTTAACGACGTTACTCTCACCCGTGCAAGAGAATGAAACTTACATCACATGGTGAAAGAAGCGGCTCCACAAGAGCTATGGCTGCATCCACCTTCTCCATAGAGTCAGCTGATATGTGAACATGAACTTCTTCTTCGGCAACATCACCAGGCTTGCCATCCTTGCGCCCTCCCTGCATCCCAGCCAACATCTCCAGTATTTCAACAAAGGCAATGAGCAGCGTTAGTTTTTTTCTTATGTATTGTGCCCCGTATTGTCAAAAGGAAAGACATCCTTCAGAAGTATTGTGATTAAAACTTAAAATAAAATAAGAGACGATCAAAACAAGAACCTGAAACAACACTTCTCCTTAACATCACACGTCTAACAAACTTATGCTTGGACTTTTCGCATGCGCCAATGGTGGGCCCCACCTCTGATTTCAGGGCTCCCATTTGAAACTTGCACAACAGCATAGCATACACCTCAACACCATGATACCCAGCTTATGTGGCTCATCAAACCAATCACAAGTTCGAATCCTGGACGGAAAAAGAGAGGGTAAAACCACCTCAGATCCAGGACAACCTTGAAGTACGCCAAGCAGAGCTCGACAGTACCTTAACGTCAGCGCAAAGTCAAAACATGAGTCTTGTCAACACATTACTATTCCTGAGCATGGCCAACTTCGGCAGGTTCAGACGGCAGGGCCAGTAATGATGTGGGTTTTGGACCTGTCATGTTACAAGGAAAATTGAGAAATATTGCTCAAAGCAAAAAACTGGCTAGCCTGTTTGAAACAGTCAAGACATTGAATACAACTCTAAATATTCCAGTTCAGGGCACACGAAGTGGTGTGTCCTCCAGTGCGTGCACGGTATGCACTTGCATTGCGTACATTTTTGGTGGCGTGCTGCAATGAGCACACAGTACGCACTTGCAAGTATGACACATGCAATTGTCGCTAAGCCATTTACCCCAAAGGAACAATCAACGTCCTTGGAAATGGATGCTCATCCCCTAAGATGCATCCTGGATATCACGACAAGACCTCATTTGACTCCAAAGCAACCCCAAAGCAAAACAAACTAACTGACATGTTTTGTCCAAGCGCGGAGTGCTGAACCAGAAGGATGTGGGCCTACCAATAGCAGCGTACATTAGAAACTGCAGGCCAGCTTCGGGCCCTGGTTCACCCAGGGAGCCCCCCTCCACCCCAGGAGCCTCACAGTCGATCCTGCCCGTGAACCGGCTCAGCAGGCCCCCAGTTGCCCCCTGCACATTCTCGCTGGGGGGGTTACCACAGGGGAAAGTGGCTGGCCACCCTCCTGCAGCCTTGCGAAGGCCGTCACCATTTGGAAAAAAGGACAGGAGGCCTTTCGAGGCCGGGGACTGGCATTCCCACCCCGTTAGGTTCAATGCCCTCTGCAGAACCCTTAATCCTGCCTTTGCTTCCCTTTTCTTCAGAGCCCTATCATAATATAGAACCACTTTAGGTGTATTGTTCATAGATTTTTCCATTGTGAACCAGCCGCCGATACTCCTTGGGATCTACTTGACCCTTGAAGGCCACTAAGAACTGCATCTGCGGTTTTGGTGGTCTTCCTCTGCCAGGTCGCTCCTGCACAGGCATTCTTGATTCTCCACAATGACGTCAATCTCGACCTGCCATCTTGTCATGACTGGGGGCACCAGTGAGCCCCCCAGCAGTGAGCTTCAGGAAAGAAACAGACTGTGTGACGAAGGCGAGAGATTGGATGTCTGGAAAGCAAGGGAAGTGTGGAGATGTGGCGGCACACCTATCACATTAGATGGACCATCAGGAACGTTGCCCACAATGCCTAAGACAGTCAGGGGACTGAAGTACTCCGAGATCAGCGTTGATGGTACGTCCTGCTCTGGCTTGAAATCTGATCATCTAACCGAGCATCTGTCACCTACTCGAAACGCTGCTACTCTTCCCTGCCTATTTTCTGAGTCCATCATTGCCCATTGAGCTTTCTATAGCTGTTCAAATCTCTGTTCCATCATTTGCTCATTGCCAAGCGCATACTCAATAGTTCCGGGCACTAATTCCTGTTTGGGATCTACGGACATCCCAAGAAATGAAATGCAGTGCTGCAAGCGGCCTGTATACTAATTTTACCCATCTTGTCATTGTCGGGACTTAATCCCGAAACCTTGGCTTGCTGTGTTTGTCATTCTTCCCTGTTTGTGTTGTTTCTTTGTTTTGAGCTTGAGTGACTTGATCCTGTGACCTGTAACTCGTGTGCTTTGTTTGCGAGTGTTGCGCACTATGGGACTTGACGCCTGAGTCTGTCACTAGTAGTCTCTGTTTGGTAGTCTTATGCCATTCGGCCTTTTCCTTTTGCCTTGTCATAGGTCTAGGTCCACTTTTCCCCCTGTTTCCATCGAGATAAAGTTGATTCTTGGGTTCTCGCCTTTGGAGTCCGTCGTAGGTCTAGGTTGGCTGGCGCCACGTACTGATGGTTTAAGTCGTGGAGTTACATCCTGAGCTCATCTAGCTCTGCGGATGACATCCTATAGATCCTGCCTTTCGTACTTTTTTACTCCCTACGACAATTTCTAGGCACTTAACTCCCTGGGACAATTTCGATGGTCTGTACTCTCTCCCTGTCTACAACTATGGTCGGTTCTTCGAACAAGTCTGAATACTCACCGATGGGATCTTGTGCCTCCTCAGAGATTCAAAACCTGACCATTTGGAGACAAATACAAGGTACCCACCTTCTTCCAGATGCTATCCGTAGTGCGTCTTGAAATCAGTTGCCCACATACACCGCACGATGACTCCACACCCTTCGGTATGCACTTGTTGACACACAGTTCTACTGCCCAGGATGTAATAAAGCAGGGTTTCAAGTCCCACTCAAATTGAGGTTTAGCACTGTGCTGCAAACCCGGTAGGACCGAGGGGCCCTCCCCCCACCGGAACCGGACGAATCCTACTGCCCCATCGACCGGGCCGGTTCCCCCCCGGTTGGCTGTAGCGCATCACTTTTTTTTTTTTTTTTTTTTTAATTTAAGCCCAGCGTGTTGTAGAGGCCAAGGACTAGACACACCGTGATCACTGGCAGCGGCATCCAGTGGTTGTCCTGACAGAATAGGCCCCCTTCCCTACCCTTCCCCACATTAATGCTCCCAGCACACCCCTATCCCTACTATCCTACCTCAGTGTGACCAGCACTCAGGACCATCACCCTACCAGTATCGAGGGCAACTTGGACCAGACAGCAGTGACAAGCACCCCCTAACATTATAACCCCCACCCCCCTTTTCAAAGTTTTTGGGTGGGAAGTATCGTCCCTACCCTGTCACTAACACCCCCAGCCCCCTTTTCAAAGTTTTGGGCGGAAGTTTAACGTTCGCAGAAAGCCAGGTACGTTGTTGTCAATTTCTGCTGAAGCCCGTGCTTGCTGAAACCCCACCACTAACACCCTCACCATAAAACCCCCAACCCC